CGAGAGAGGAGTGGAGGTGAAGGCAATAGACACCCTGACCGAGATCCTGTCGCCTCACTATGACCTGGTGGAGTCTTTCGACATGCCGGTCCTGTCCATGGAGGACCCCAGACTGTGGTTCTGGCTGGTTGACAACGTCACTGTCTGGAGGAGGAAGACTCAGGACTAGCAACACACACTCAGGAACTCTGGGGGACTTTGACCCAGTAGAATCGTAGAATCATTGAGATCATTTTTCATCTCAGTTTACCACTGTTTCAGATTTTGTTCATGATTTGTTGTAGTTAGAATGGTGTATATAATATTTACAACGGTGCTGCTTTGCGTAATGACTGAGGATGGTCCTGTTATTATTATCTGCTGTATTGTATATAACCATCCTGTTACGGAAAAATTAATAATGTTCACTAGAATCTCTAAGGCTCAGTGGTTCTCTCTCTTCCTCCACACGGTGGCGTGGTCGAGGAACCAGAAGAACAGCCGAGGCGCATCCCGACTCACACACTGCAGAACACACTCCTCCTCCAGCTGGAAGTCTGGCAGCAGAACTGCCTTCAGTGCCTCAAACGTGTCCACCTCTTTTCCCTCTTTGTCCTTGTAACCCCCTAGCCATTTGTCCTGGGGAATAAGTACATCTGAATGCAGTGAATGGTAGCTATATATTCACTCTGAATGCCACAGTGGGCGTAATTGAAATACCATAGAACACCTCCGACAAGGTTACAAGAGGAGACTATGGACCTTGGGTGTTGTTTCCTCTGTCCAGGTATAAGACTCCACCAGAACCAGGGTTCCTCCAGGGACGAGGAGGTCTCTGGCCTGCTCCAGTAGCTTGGCGGGGTCTGGTACACGACAGAGTGTGTTGCAGGTGATGATACAGCCCAGGGGACCGGGGGACAGGGCAGGCAGATTACACCCATCGCCAACTTTGAACTCCACCCTGCTACTGTTCTATATACGGAGACAAGCAGTCAAGGAATTTAAGAAACGACAATAAATAGAGGGACTGACGATTTCAGGAGGGAGGTGAGCGATCTTGGTCTCTCCTAGCTCTCCCTCTCCCGGCAGCCAGTACTCGGTCTGCCCCGTCCTCTTGATCTCGTTGCACTTGTCCACGAAGGCCTGAGAGATGTCCACCCCCAGCACCGAGTCAAACCCTCTACTTAGCTCAAACGAGGTCCGACCAGAAGCACACCCCACCTCCATCGCCCGACTCACCACTCCCTCCTGAGGAAGGAATTGAGAAATAGCTGGCACTGCATCAAAACGGGAAGATACAGACCCTACCTTCCTGTGCTTGATGCAGAGATTAGCGCATTTCTCGTGGAAGCCGACCACGTCGCGAGGCACACAGTCGTACAGAAGGTAGTCCTCCGGCGCGGCATAGTGGAGGGTTCCGAAACATTTGAGCATGTACTCATCACTGTGATCGTGACTGTGCCCGTCACTCTGCGGATGGCCGGATCATGGATTATCGCCATAAAACCAGGCGTTCTAACCGCATGCTGGCTGACTTACCGGTTTGTTCCTGTCGCGAACGTACTGCAGGCCTTTATACACCGCTAGACCTGCAGCGAAGGTCCCCACACCAGCCAGCGCCCCTAGCCAGATCTCTTTCCCTCCCGACGACATCGCTTTTCGCGGCTAATTTGCGCATGCGCTTTCACAGCGCGACGAGAGCCACAAATTTTATCCTGAAACATTGTTCCTTCTCCAGACGGTGGCATGCGCCACGGTCCACTGGTGCAGGCGAACAGTCTCCCTGATTAGCAGGGGCATCCCCATCTCCTCCACCAGCTCAAAATGGGTCCCCATGATTTCCTTCATACTGTCGAACCCCGAAACCTCTCTCCCTTCGTTGTCCTTGTACCCTCCCAGCCAATTGGCCTGCCATACAAACATCATTACATCATTACGATGCAGTCAGTGGGAGTTGCTAGCAGACCTTTGGAGTGTACTGCTCCAGCCAGGAATATGGAGAAGTGATGACTACAAGGCCTCCCTCGACCACTATGGAGCGGAGACGGATGAAGAAAGGGCGGGGGTCGGGAAGACGACAGATGAGGTTGGCTGCCAGAACACAGCCGAACTGGCCCAGCTGGGGAAGATTGCAGCCATCTCCCACCATGAACAGTACCCTCTGTCGGTCCTGTGTATCAGTTTCAGATGGAGGAGGGAGGGTTAGAGAAAGAGAGAGAGAGCTCACGATCTCGGGAGAAATGGCTGCTATTTTGTCTTCTCCAAGGTCTCCCTCGGTCTTTAGTCTGTAGGCAGAGCGACCGGTCATCTTGAGTTCCTGACAGCGGTGGATAAAGGCTGCAGAGTAGTCGATTCCCACCACCTCCTCGAAGTCCCTTGCCAGCTCAAACGTGGACCTCCCGACGGCACAGCCCACATCTAGTGCCCTCTTCAGCACACCTTCCTGCATCACCGACACACCGTCCTCGTAACAAAACTCCTTTCATGCAACTAAAGTGAACCCTCTAGATAAGGCAAACTTTGGAAACATTGAAAGTGTCCTTTATTCAGAGGTATACCAAGTGTCCTACATTAGAAAGGTGTCCTTAAGAGGTTCCTTCCACTCTTGCCTGCTGGTGTTTGCCGCAGAGTTGAGCACAGCGCAGAGGGAAGTCCAGAGCCGTGATGGGCCCATTGGGGTGGACCAGGTACTCATCTGGTGGTGTGTAGTGGAAGGCCATGTACATGTGGTTCATCCTTTCATCTTCATAAGGGTTGGGCGGTGTCTGGAGAGAGACAGAGCAACTGAGGACGGTGGCTGGCACACTGAAAGAATGCGCGTGGAATGGACATGTAAGTTACAACCCCACACACAATACTGCGGACCGAATTGAGAGGTGTCGGTACACAGCGTAAGTGATTATCAGCAACTATGTATTTCCGCCCGCAAACACGTGCAGGCTTGCCTCTCGCGTTCTCTTCCACAGCCAGTAGATTCCGCTGCCCAGCACGCCAGCTCCGAGACCTGCCAACAAGCCGCACTTGAGCATATCACGACTCAAAGACACGCCAAGTCCAAGCTCTCCGGCCATGCTATCCCACAATTGCAACGCCTTTACCCGCGCGCATGCGCCTAGCTCTAGCAGAATTGGTGGGGGCGGGGCTCGTACAAAAATGCGCCCACGCACGAAATGCAAACTCGTGACGGCGGTCCGACGGACTCTTCTCTGCAGAAACTGGGCGTGAATTTCTTGTATGTAGCTAAAGCTGTGGAAAACAGTTGGTAGCGATGGAATCGAAGGAGATAATCTCGGAGAATACCGTTCCCTTAGGAATGGACGAACACCTCTACAAAGTTCTCGTAATCGGCGACTTTGGAGTTGGTAAATACCTACTACAGTCTGCAGAAATCTAGCCTAGTAAACCGTAGCTACCATCTGCATTTCGTATAATATCTCTATTTCTTCTTTTCTTAACCTACTCCGTGCGGCTCTCTCGTGAATGCAGGCAAGGTTAGTTCGTCTCTTGAGCTACATGCATAGCTATCTGTAACACTTCTGTTGTTCTCGCATGTTTGGTGGCTGCAGACGTGCATCATAAAGAGGTACACGGAAGGTACGTACGTGTTCTGAGGTGATTGTCTAGTTCAGATGTTGGTATTCCGACGCGTTTCCGTGTTTGATATGCTGGCAAACACTGTATTTCATGTCAGCTAATGGTCCAGTGTTACAGGTACTTGTTTCTAATGCTGTCCAATCCACCCTGGCTACAGGTACATTCTCACCCAACTACAAGCTAACCATAGGAGTGGACTTTTCGCTGAAGACTCTGGAGTGGGACTCACGGACCAAAGTCAATCTACAGCTCTGGTGGGTGCAAGGCTTTGATCTCAGGGTGGTGGTATGAGAATTAGATCAGGGGACAGTACTGCTGACTTATCACAAGTGTGGGCACCATTTCCTCCCTGGAGAAATGTTGGAGTGCCTGCATGTCTGGGTGTCCTTTAGCAGTCAGTGTTAGTACAATACATGGAATGATGCAAGAGTAGTGCAGAAGCTAGCACATTGGGGTTTTGTTGAGCTCTGCCATTTGTGTGTGAGTATATATCACTATAGTGCCCTGCCTTGTTCACAGGGACATTGCTGGCCATGAAAGGTTCAACCACATGACCAGAGTCTACTACAAATATGCGTAAGTGTTAGTCTTAGTCTTGCTTCCACAGAACCCCCCTTGCCTTCCGCTAACTCAGTCTTGCACTTTTGCTGAATTTGACTACAAACCCATTCCCTTGCCTTCAGCTGGAAGAATTATTCATATTTTCGCCAAATTGAAACCATAATAACTTATCTTCCTCTCTTCCCACACAGGATTGCAGCTATCATAGTATTTGATATAAAGAGGTATGCATACACTATTTATTTATTACCTGTCGGTGTGTCAGATGAATTCACTCTGTCTCTTTCCTAGATTAGCAACCTTTGAATCCGTTCTAAAGGTATGTTTGTATATAGTACTAAATTCATTTGTATTGAGTGGGCTCGGTCCATACTGCAATAAGCCACCGACCATAACAAACTGTGCCATGCTCTAGTAGTGCTGGTATTGACAGTGCCCTACCCCGCTCCCCACAGTGGCTGGACGATGTCAACCAAAAGGTAATGCTGGAGAATGGAAGCTCTATACCAATCATCCTCCTAGCCAACAAGGTATACAGTAGCGCTATTAAACAGAAGTTCCGCATGATTACGAACAAGTGGACATGATGGTTGATGAGCAGGGTGTAGGAAGACTGTCAGTATTGGGAAATGTTTGTTTCCCATGCTACAGTGTGACTTGGACGACCACCAGGTGGACCAGGCAACTCTAGATGCTTTCTGCAAGACACACGGCATCACAGCATGGTGAGCTAGGGGTCCTAATATAGGTGCAACAGCAGCAATATTACACTTGTGTGAATTCTGTAATGTAAATGGGGCCATCTCATACTAGCAGTGCTTTTTGGCAGTGTTAGCCAACTGTAAATAGGGCAAGGGTTATGATTGGTGTTGTCTGAATTGAGCAACTGTTCTATATTACAGATGGCACTGCACTGAGCGAAATACTCCTAACCCACTGAAATATGGCACACTCTTGCCCATGCTCACTCACTTTAGTGCTATTTAGGAAGTTATACAGTGTGAATTTTGATACATGCACCTTGGCAACGTAAAACACGGCATGCGATCTATCTTTATTTGTGCAGGTTCGCCACTTCGGCAAAAGAGAACAAAAACATAGGTATGGCGACAGGTTGGGTATTTTTACTGAACCTCAAAAATCTCCTATATCCACTGATTGGATTCCATAATATAATTACCCCAGAGGGAATCTGCATGCTCCTTCATTTACCACTTTACGGCATATTATACAATGTGTGGTGCCGTGACATAATCGACATGCCCTGGCTGTACAATTTGCTGCAATCTTATGCAGGCACACCAGACCTGTTGCACCCTTTAAGATATTTTGTGGCGATGAGCCAAATGAACACGCAACATCAAAGCTTGACATTCCAAAGCCTCTCATAATTGACTGCAGGACATCCCATTTCATGGGGACATGTTATAGACTCCCACTACCTACTCAAGAGTATAGGCCTCATTATTCTAGAACGATCACTATAACATTAGTCATGCATCATAAACCTCGTATCAAATGCTATCAGAGGAGGCAATGAACCTGCTGGTGTGCAAGATAATGGAGCTGTCGTCACTGAAGGTTGACGGACTCCCGGAGGACTACGTCGATCTGGCTGCAGAACCAGAGACTACCGGACAGCTGGCCTCCATTGCTGGAGATTCCTACCAGCACACGGGGAGGAGAATCACAGGTGTTGTCCCTCGGAAACCGCAGCAACAAACACCTCAGAAGAGTAATTGTTGTTGATTCTCCTTGTTCTGTGTTTTGTGGTGTGCGCATGTTCTTTGTCTGTCTATTATTATTTCCTAATGATCATCAATCTCTTGTTGTGTAGCAAAAAAATGGAGAGTGAATTACAATGATTAGTGGACACACCAACAGCAGATATTAATGTTCAAAGAGATTACTTCTTGAAACTGTTTGTGGCCTTCATCACACTCTTTTTGGCCTATGTTCTTCATATACATACTGAAGAAGTTGCTTGTAGATAAGATTTTAAAGACATACAGATCTGTATCCAACACTTAAGGAGATGGCTGGATGCAAGTGCTTGTTAAGACAAAGTTGCACTGTTTAACAAGTCGATCAGGTCTTAGTGGAAACAGCATTAGAAGACACTATTTGAAACACATTTGCTTATGACTATACAATCATGTGTCGTCAAAACATGCCACCAGACGAGGCAATAGACCTGACTCCTGAACCAGAGACTGACCTTCATGACCTACCAGCACACTGGGAGGAGAATCACAGGAGTTGTCCCTCAGAAACCGTGGCAAACAACATTGCAAAAGTAATTGTTGTAAAGATCTATCACAGCTAATAATATACATACAACTATATAGCAGAACAAGATTGTTTCAAATCAGTTTCTTGAAGTGCTCTGCAGCAACTTTTGCACTACATTTGGCTTTCATTGCATAAATAGACGATAGATTGTGGTAGTTGTTGAGGAGCTCATGGTCCATAGCACTGGAAGGCTCAGGGCGGATGAGGATGGCCACCAGGGCCTGGAAAACATGCTCCATTCCCATGTAGGAAGGTTCCCACTTGTCATCTCCAAGCAATCCCAAACAAACTTGGCCTGATTTCTGGCTTACATTCAGGTGGTATGGAAACGGAGCGACAAAATGCACCTGTAGGAAGAAAGCCCTCTGTAGGCAAGCCGTTGCGCATGCGTGCAGTAGAGGGCGCTATATAGGGGCGTAATGCAGGGGGGCGGACCTCCTCCGCACGTACGTATGAACGTATCGCCCTCTCCACCGACTAGTAGCTTGCGCCTCTCCCATAAACGGGATGGGCCCGTTACATAAGAGTGGACCTACCTCTGGTGGCTTCACTGGATAGTTTTCTCTGAGACTTTGTGTCAAGAAACTGTACACACTGCAAATCCACATTAGCTACGTACATACGTACGTACAATCTAGCTATGAAACAGGATACGGGACACAAACTCTGACTTTGAAAAGCCCACCTGCAGAGCAAAAATCAGTGCTAGCTATTCACAATTCTCCACGAAATGCACAAACCTTTATAGACTGAGTCAACAGGTCCACTCAGGAGTGCCTCCCAGACATACAGATCTGTGTCGGACGGTAAACTAATGGACACGCCAGCAGGAGGACCTTGAGAGAGTTTTCCATACTCTCTCTTGAGTCTGACAAAAGAGGTTAATAAGATGATTATCTGATTATCTTGGACTAAGCAACACCTTTTCATAGAGACGACCCGCTCTCCGGACGCCATTTCTCAAGGCGGCGATGCGACGACTGCAGCGCGGCGGGGGCGTTCACGCGTATATACGAAACCAACGCGTTACTCAACCGTAATAAGTTAGTGCACTGTCCGAGATGACTACTGTGCAGCTCCAACTTTACATCAAGGGGATACGAGGCGAAACCATGTCTATTATGGTTCACAAAGTCAGTCGGTGCACATAGTTTTATGACCGAATGCCCTTGTGACTCAATCTTTCTATTACAGGATGCCACCATTGATGAGCTATTTCGGAAGCTGGAGGAGAAAAACTGGAGTTCCTCCAGATGAGGCACGTTTAATACACGCTGGCAAAGAGCTGGAGCAAAAGAAGAAGAAGCATATTAGCGATTATAAATCCATTGCACACGGTTCTACTCTCTTTATGGTTATGAGGCTTTTGGGAGGTGAGTACCCAGATACCCTTAGCTGTTCGTCAAGGGCAAGTAGCTAACACCGCTTTTTTGATGCTTTTGTGGTAATGGCACCGTATAAATTGAATGCAATAGTATGAGGAGAGCATTCTGTCAAAAACCACCAGATCAGACAGGCAAACCCACTGCAGAGTTAATAAAACGCTTACTACAATCTCCTGCTTTTTAATTTAGTAGCATGACCATAATACTTTATGAATCAGGTGGTGACCAGCTGCCACCACTGAAGGCGCTTGATGAAATGGTTGATCTGACAGATGAGCCAGACATGATCACCTGGGATGATGATCCAGAGGGAAAGAGGGCCAAAATGCCGTGTGGTCACGCCATTGCACCTGAATCACTCACCACTTACTGCCGCAGCCTGCTCACCGCCGGAAAATTCATCTTCCTCTGCCCTTACGTTGATCGGGGCAACGCCACCATCCGGTGCAACAAGGAGTGGAGCTACATTGAAGTCCGTCGTTTCGCCGTGCTGACCGATGAGGAACAGAAAGAGTTTGAGACAAAAATTTCCGAAAACTACCTGAAAAAAGCAAGTGGAGTTCAAGAATGCCCTGGCTGTCAAACCCTCTGTGAGAGGGTAAATCCCAAAGATAAGCGCCTGATATGTCGCATTTGCACAAAGGAAAAAGGTCGCCGCTTCGATTTCTGTTGGCATTGTCTCCACGAGTGGAGGGATTCCGGGACCATCAAGTGTGGAAACGAGGAGTGCAGTAACGAAGATCATCGCCTGCGCATCCTTCGAGAAGCCAAGGAGAAATACGTTGTTGGGGTGACAACACCTAGTTGCCGTGCCTGCCCGCAGTGCGGCATGCTCATTGAACATGCTGCCAAGTGCAAGCACATGGTGTGTCGCTGTGGTGTCCAGTTCTGTTTCATCTGCCTCAAGACCAAGGGAGACGATGGCTGGCAGTGTGGTTATTTCAACATAAAATGTACGCCTGCTGCTCGCCAGGTGGACATTCCAGGAATGTGAAAAGGGTTTCCCACGACTGTAAAAATGAATAACGGTTAGCGTTGTTGGATTCATCCTTAGTAGAATGTGCTGTATCATCATAGATATTCACAGTGCGCGCATGGCGCCGTCAGTGCGCGCGCGCAGGCTGCGCGGCGCCGTGTACGTCGTCAGTGCGCGCAGGCTATATAGGCGCCGTCAGTGCGCGCAGGCGCAGCGAGACGTTCTGAATTAATTATGACCGACCAACAACATTGTACACGTCACTCTAAATCTGGGGGAAATCGATGGTCCCCGTCCATCATTCATACAATTTGGTGTGCGGGAGGGTCTCACACAGACGTTTATAGCAAATGCAGCCTGACGTCACATACTTAGACTCGACGGCCGGCCCGTTGTCGCGACTGGCTCGCTCTCGTTTGTGACGGTGTAAAGTGCAGTGTAGATGCGAAAACATGCAGCTACAACTCTACATCAGCGGGATAAATTGCGAAACAGTATCTATTATGGTTCACAAAGTAAGTGCTGTGCAGTGAATATATAGCCATATTGCCAACCTTTTCTCGCAGAATTCCACTATTGATGAGCTATTTCGGAAGCTGGAGGAGAAAACTGGAGTTCCTCCAGATGAGGCACGTTTAATACACGCTGGCAAAGAACTGGAGCAAAAGAAAGATAAGCAAATCCGAGATTATCCATCTATAGTCCATGGATCCACCCTTTCTATGCTTATGAGGCTCCTGGGAGGTGAGTGTCTTGTTATTATGTTCTTGGTTAACTGATATGTGCCTTCAATCAGGTTTTGATCCACTGCCAGAAAAGGAGCTGGATGCTTTGGCTGATTTGACCCTTGAACCAGACATGATTACTTGTGAGGATGACCGTGAAGGAAAGCGAGCTAAAATGGCATGTGGTCACGCTATTTCACCTGAGTCACTTACCATGTATTGTCGCAGCCTGCTCGCAGCTAAGAAATTCATCTTCCTCTGTCCGTATGTCGACCCAACAGATGACACCATCCGCTGCAACAAGGAGTGGAGCTACATTGAAGTCCGTCGTTTTGCTGTGCTGACCGATGAGGAACAGAAAGAGTTTGAGACAAAAATTTCCGAAAACTACCTGAAAAAAGCAAGTGGAGTTCAAGAATGCCCTGGCTGTCAAACCCTCTGTGAGAGGGTAAATCCCAAAGATAAGCGCCTGATATGTCGCATTTGCACAAAGGAAAAAGGTCGCCGCTTTGAATTTTGTTGGCATTGTCTCCACGAGTGGAGAGATTACGGAATCACCAAGTGTGGAAATGTGCAGTGCAGCAACGAAGATCATCGCTTGCGCATCCTTCGAGAAGCCAATGAGAAATATGTTGTTGGGGTGATAACACCTAGCTGCCGTGCCTGTCCACGGTGTGGCATGCTCATTGAGCATATTGCAGAATGCAAGCACATGCTGTGTTGCTGCGGTGTCGAGTTTTGTTTCATCTGCCTCAAGACCAAGGGAGACGATGGCTGGCAGTGTGGTTATTTCAATACAAAATGTAAGTCTGCTGCTCGCCAGGTGGACATTCCAGGAATGTAACTGGCTATGATTATTTTAGAGAGGCTATATAGTAGTATATAGGCTGTGTATATTCCCTGAAATTTGTATTCATAACAGTGTACCATGTATTATTCACGTGCTGAATCACAATTGATGACGACTTACAAATGTGCACCTGTGATTGTGAATGATTTATCTTTGTGAATATGTGAATGGTGTATAGAGAATGAATTATGCAATAACTGTAAGCCCAATAAACGGTTTGGATTGCGTGCCCTTGCTGTTGTAACATGCCCATCCCTTTTGCACTAAAAGCAGGAAGCCTACCTTAACCTACATTAACCCTCGGTACGCACGTTAAAAGTTGATTCTCCTTGTTCTGTTTTGCGGTGTGTGCTTGTACGTCTGTTCTTTGTCTATTTTATTATACCTTCATGATCATCAATCTATTGTCGTGTAGCAAAATAATTATGTTATGGATACAATGAAAATTGGACACACTAACAGCAGGGTTCAAAAGATTACTTCTTGAAAGACTTCGCAGCATTCGATGCACTCTTTTTGGCCTCAACACTGTATATACCTAGAGGAGAAGTTGTGGTAGTTGTTGAGGAGCTCGTGGTCCATAGCAATACAAAGTGCGAGCCTGCCGCTCCCCAAACAAGCATCCCTGGATTGTGACACTGACGATTTTTGGTTCTTGTCTTTGCACGGGGGCATGCGCACTC